AAATTTAAAGAACCAATTGATGGGTCCTCTGTGGCGAGTAAGAATCTTCTTCAGGTGACCAGGTACGAAAAGTGAGCTAGGCTTTACTCCACTGAAGTGCCAGAACATAAGCACAGAAAGGAGTGGTTGGAAAAACATTTGCGGGTAGTAACTTTTGATAGTTGCAAAAGTGGTTCACCAGTTTTTTGTAATCTTTGTCAAACTGCAATAGAAAAACTTTCTCATAAGGCAGAAAGCACGCATGCACACACACAGAGGCAGTGATAAAGCTTCTTGGCTAGTAAAATTATGCATGCGAGGAGGCAGACAGGAACAGCATACATTTTGTGTGTGACTATCCTATTTTCTCAACACCTCCTAATTTTCACAGATCACTCATCTACGTAGCAAGCAGCAGAAACTGCACTGACAAAACACACTGATGTGGCCTGCAACAGTTTCTCCCTTTGAAATGAGACCACACATTTTTATTCATAGTCCTTTCATCTGATGCTTCATGACTACCTCAGATAGTTTCGGAGGGGTGTATGTGCTGTGAATGTGTTTGTGTGTGCTTGGAGGCGGGGGGTGGGAATCAGAAAGCAGAATTTAATAACTGTAATCTGTGACTCACAATCCTTCACTTCTGGTAGGCTCCTATTTGTATTCCTGGAAGCAATTTCTTAATATAGTTCGCCCTCTAGTGGATCTGATGCTTGCATTGGGAAGGTTTTGGATTGTACCAAAAGTGGAAATGCCAAGGTTAGGCAATGATCCTTCCAAAACATCTGCACTGTTGCAGACACTTCTGGCCCTCTCCACGTACATCTGTGTTATCGGCATGAAGGGCACGTTTTGTGGAATGGCCTTAGCTCAAGCAGGTGGTTCTCCTGTCCCAACCAGCTCTTTACCAGTGCAGGACAAATGCTGCCTCCCAAGCCAGTCCTGTGATGTTGGAACTTGGGAGATTGCATGGTTACTTCTCCTGCTGCAAAACAGGGATGCACAGAAAGAAACTATTTGGTCTGCCCCAGTCGCCTGCTCTCTTGGCTTGCCATGCTACTCAGGCAGGTTTGGACGGAGCAGGATGGACATTTGTTATACTGTCTTTGAAGCTTGAAGTCTCAGGTGTTAGGCATCCATTAAGAGTGCAAACAGGAGGAGAGAAAGTGGATGGGAACTGAAATCACAAACCCAGAAGTGAAAAGCGCATGTGCGCACACATGCACAAACACACACAATATCTATCCATCCAGCCATAGCTGTTTCTTCCGCTGATACAAAAAGAGTAACATCGAAACAGAGCGAGTCAGGCCATCTAGTCTGACCCCCAGTTCCAGCCGGCTCCGCTCACGACATGCCCACCATGTGCATGTCCAGCCTATCCTTGAACACCCTCACCATTTGGCCTCAACCTCCTCCTGTGGAAGCCCGTTCCATGCCCTAGGGGTCCTAACCGTCAGGAAGTATTTCCTGGCATCCACCTTGTATCTTGGTTGCCTGAGCTTTGCTCCACTGGAACGCATCCTGCCCTCCACCGCAGGGGGGGGAACGTCATGACTCACCTCTGCATGACACCCCCTCACATATCTGTATGTTGCTAACAAGTCCCCTCTGAGTCTCCTCTTCTCATGGCTGAAAAGACCCAGCTCCTGCAGTCCCTCCTCACGTGACTTACCCTGCAAACCACCCATCATCCAAATTGCCCTTCACTGCACTGATTCCAACCTTGCTGTATTCCTCTTGCAATGAGGGGCCCAGAACTGAGCACAATACTCCAGTTGCAGATGCACAAGAGTCGTATGGAGTGGCAGAAATACCTTTCTTGATCTAGAAGCCACACTTCTGGCCATGCAACCAAGGGTGGCGTTCGCCCTCTTGAAAATTAATAGTAGAAAATAAAGGATGCATATCTCATTGTTCTGAACAATATACTGCACAGAATAATGTCTATGAATGATGGGTAAAGTGATAGAAGGTCTCATTTTAAACAAATGGGAATGGACTTGAACTTTATATGCTGACCAGCTGTATTTACTTGAAGTCATTATGCAAGGCCACTGTTGCTAAAACTTTCTGAGATGCTGCAAGGGAGCCAAGATGGGGCAGGGCATTATTTCCAAGTATTGATTCAGAACAGGTAAAGGAACATGCCAGCAATGACTGCATGCAACCTTGGCTTATCGCCTGGTAAACCTGTGTGTGGGTTGTATGCGGAGCTTGGGGAGAATGTTAGGCTGGGACTATTCTCACCACTTTGCAGTTTTCTGTGTGCAGAGAACTTTTTTTGGTGGGACGTGGTGATGGGAGTTATATGGAGCAGACCCAGGACGTGTCCTTACAGCAGATCAGGTAATTTGTCCGTCTGGCTGGACCTCGTCTTCCCGGGTCTCAGACAGAGAGTGTGACTTTCTGACCTGCTTCCTAAACCCTTTACCAGGATGGCTGAGAGGGGCTCAGCTCAAGAACCTCTGCAGGCTGCTGTACTGGTCCTTTCACATTCAGTCATGGAAGTCCCCATGCACTTTCCATCTGTACAGCCCCAAATTCAGGTCGCAGCCTTCCCGAGAAAGAGGCCTCTGAGTTGCTCTTAAAAACCAAACATGCCCACCCTGATCCACGTTCATCCCACTTGTCTGTCTACCCCACTAAACATCCAGTTTTTCAAGAGGACTCCTTAATCAGGGGGTGCACCAAGTCCCTCATTCATCATGCAATCTGGCTTGTGGAAAATTCCCACCACCCCACCCACCTGTCCTGCCCCATTTCTCTTGCTTCGGAAAGGGAAGGGTGAAGGGTCTGATCTCGACCAGGCCCACTCACTCTTGACCTGGGATAGACCTGGCAAACCTAATCCGATGCCTAATTCCAGGTTTGCACAATCCTTGAGACGTTTCCACACCATTCTGCTTAATCAGGTATTTTGCAGGAATGCTCAACGGTGCAATCACAAACTGTGTGGAAAGGTGAAATTATGCAACACAAGTTTCTGTGATCTGATTTTTCCTATTCAAGATTGCTCTCCCTTGCATGCAGGGCTGTCATAATTCATTAATACTTAGCCAATATCATACCCTAATTATCTTGGGTCATACATAAATAATTGACTCACTTTGCTTTAGGCAAGTAAGTAAAGACTGAACTACGAATGCAAGATGAGATTCATTTATTTAGCGTGTTCATAGTCAACACTGCTTTCATCATCCTCGTTGAATATCTCCCCTAAGTTGCTCAGATATATTTTATTTTAAGTATGGAAGGTCTATGTTGTGACACCACAGTAAGGCTGAGCTTGACAAGTCAACTGAGTCTTGGACCTGACATTGTCTGTCAAGCAGGATGCTGGTGAACCTCCTGGGTCGCAGAAACAGTGTTGGTCAAGTCCCTGGCAAGCCACAACACGTAGAAAAATAGGAACGTTCCCTGTACTAAGTCAGGACATTGGCCCACCCTTGTTAATTACACCAAAGATAGACAGCTTGTGTCCCTCCAGATGTTTGTGCGCCATATCATTTCCATCTGTTCTGGTCAGAAGAGCGTAATATTTCCTGGTCCTCTCTGGAGTTTCCAAGGGCTGAACCTGTGACATTTTGCTCGCCAAAAGCAGTTCTCACGGTACGGACATAGTGGGCTGCTTCTGGCTTTGCACGGGCCTCCCTTATGTGACCATTTGTTTGCCCCCGTAGTACATCCCTCTGTTATACCCTTGTGCAGAATGATGGTTTAGGAACCCACAAAGCAAAAGAAATACATGTAATATCGAACTTGGGATGTGTGCTTCATCTCCTTGATAAGATTCAACACATTTTGTTTTAGCAAATTTCTGCCAAAAGATTGGTCCTGAAATGGAGCTCACCCAAGCACACAGTCACTTAGATATGAGCTTCCCAACCTAACATGCATTTGTTTGGAATAATTCCCATCGATCTTAACAAGACAGCTTATTTTCAAGTTAATTGGGTTTAGGACTGCAGGCTGCAAATGTAACATACACACGCAGGTGGTTAAAGTGAGCATATCCATCCCGTGCCTTTTTCATGAGGGCTTTTGCAGCAAGTTCATCTGTAGGATAGATTTAATTAGGGCAAAGCGGTATTGTGAAGTTTGCCTTGTCTGAGTACATCAACAAAATGCAAACCCCACAAGCAACCCCACATGTGTATCGTACCCCATGCAGCATTATGTGCCTCCGAGGACAGCGTGAGTTTTGCTTATTAGGCCCAGTCAGGATCAGGCCCCCAAAGGCAAGAGAGTCATGAACAGCCTGTGTTCTTGCCCTGTACAAGATGAAGCTATCAAAGGTCCCATGGGGCTAATGGCTGGTTGCTTCGTGCTCCTTTCTCCTCCCTGGGGTGCCTGTGAGAAGTTCATCGCCTCTCTCTGGTGTTGCAAGATGGGGTGGAGCAAACCACCACCCAAAGTGCTGAGAGCCTTGGCTCACGGCCAATCCCATGGGCTCTGTACCCCTTACTGGCTGGACGCCTTCAGCCCTTACAGGGTGCATGGCTAAGCAAAATGACAGTCAACTTCTGTGCCAGGTAGCCCTGGGAAAGCTCTCACTGCTTCCCTGGAGAGGAGGTAAGTCCTAATGGGCAGCCCTCCTTCCAAGCTACCTTGCTCCCCTGAAAGCACAGCCATGAGGAAAGGTTGGGTGTTTTCCTGGGGCTCACGGACTATTTGTGAGAGGAAAGGATGGATCGTGTGGACACCAGAAGGGCTTAAGAGTGGCCTTCCCTGACCAGGTTTCTTCTGAATGTTTTGGAGTTCAACTGCCATCATCCCAGCAAGGCAGGAATGTTGGGAGATGTAGTCCAAAATATTTGGAGGCAAAAGGCTGGTTCAGGATGGAGTGCTTAAAATCCTGGCATTGTATCTAACCTTCAGGGCTATATACTGAGAATAATTATTGTTTATTACACAGCAGTGAAAGTTCGTTAATGTTACCTAAGCATTTCCATAATAATGCCTTGCTCAAAATACATGCCTGGCAAGAGATGTTGTTGTCACCACAAAACTTTTACCTGTGTGCGTCCTCCGGTGAGCCTTCAGGTGGGAGCTTTTAGTATATACCTTGTTGCATCCTTCAAAATCACACCGATGGATGCGGCGCTTTCTGGAGTCCGGAGATTCAGACCTTCTCTGGCGTCTTGTGCTCTCGATACTAAATGGTGAAATTGAACTGCGAGGTGGAAACAAAAGAGGGAATTAGACTATGTGGGCTGCAAGAGAAGGTCCAATTTCTGGTTTCTATTTGAATTAAGTTCACACAAGAAATACACTGTCATTATCTTTAAAGGGTGGCAAGAATACTTCTTTCTTAGCATTTCTCTGTTCTTCAAATTAAAGAGAACTAGGAACCAGCTTTGTGGCTAAGATGACCCTTATTATAAAGAAGGCTTGCATAACATCTGACCCCGGAAGTCAGACTCAAGTGTCCCACCAGGGTACTGTTAAATCTCCTAATTTTGCTGCAAGTCTGGACTCGCAGAAATGAGGATGCGGAAGATTAAGTATGAAGCATATCACAAGGCATGGCTAATAGACGGTGCTCAGCCCAGAAGATCACAAGTTCTGCAAGCCCACTCTTCTCAATATGTTCATTTTATGTCTTTATAAAACTAGGAGTCACTTTTCCACCCAGTAGGGACCTGCAAGTGACTAAGAATTCAAAGTTAAATTTAAGGTGCAATCCACAGGAAGCCTGGACTCAGAGAGTTCTGAGATTCCTGTGTGCAGAGGTGATCTCTGCCTCTTGGTCCTCTTAGCTTTGCTTTTCTCAGTGGCAGAGGGAAGGAAGCTGTAAAAGACTCAGGATAAATAACATCCCAGCCTCTCCGGTCGTCTTTCTCCATGGCATGCCCCTTGGCCCCATCACCAAGGTTGCTTTCTGACCTGGGAGAGTTGGCCAGTGTGTTTCTCTTGTCTGGCTATGCTTCTCTGTTCTGGCTAGGTCAGATCTCCAAGTCCACCTCCTGCATCTGACCTATGAGATGGAATCTGAGCCATCGTTTGGTGCCCCAGATGCTCAACACTTTGAATATTATCTGGCCACGACTGCACAGAGCATTGTGGCAGATCTGCTTTCTCTGGAAAGGGACACAACGGGTGCACCAATCAAGCTGGACAAATCCACGCAGTAACGTCTTCTTAAAGCAAGGGAGGCACTTCGTGGCAGAATTTGAAGAACATCCCATTGTTCAGCTCAGACAGCATGGATTTGGGATGCTCTGTTTTCAGAAAGGGTGTGTGTAAAGCTGTTTTCTATGATTACTGCTATAATTTGTAATGTAATATTTTAAGGTAGCAAACAACTTAAGGTATAAAAGAAAAAGGGGAACGATATTTGATTCTATCTCAGCGCCACCTGCCTGTTCGCAGGACTCAAGCAGAAAGTCATTCCATTTGAACAAAATAAAAAGAGGCCTTTTAATGCTTCCTTCATTTAGGCTTAGTAATCGGTTAATTCAGCCAATGAACAAACACATGGAGCAAAGGGACTGCTTTGGGTAATATAAGCCAGAATCAGTTTGCTTTCTGTGTGTTCCTTCCCCACGTACACCGAATGGGGTCACCTTGCACGTCCAGGCACTTATCCTGCCACACAATTAGAATGCCCACTTGTAACTGCACACGGTTCCTCGCCGATATATTCATACGCACTCTTGACTTTTCTACATTTTCTTGGGTTAACAATCTGGAACTGAGAATTCAACCAACACAGGATACTCAGCAGTGTGAGGGTGCAAAATATTTCTATTCTGGCACAAAATTTAATATTGCAGAAGAATTCGCCCACATTGCCATGCAATCACAGCCTTCAGAAGTCACATAACTTTGGGTGGTTGAATGCGGACCACCCACACGCAGTTCCAGTGCCACAGGATCTCCAAGGAAATGAACCTATTTCTGGAAGTCTACAGAGCACAGCTCGACAAACAGTATCATGAAGACCAAGAAGCTATCTAAAGGTTCCCAAGATGAAATTGTGCAGAAACACCATATCCCAAGCTACAATATGAATATTCCAAAAATCTATTATTACAGAAGAGAAAGAATGTGGCTGAGGTGCAATTCTGGACCATCCACCAAAACTCAATGACCAGGGAAGGAGGACATTAGCCAGAGAAGCAACCTACAGGCCAATGGTTAGTCTGAGGGAGCTGGAGAGATAACACTGCTGAAATGGGAGAAACGGTCCACGGGGCAACCATAATTCAGATGGTCCACAAAGCAGGAATGCATGGATGAGCGGAGAGAAGTAAGTCATTGCTGAAACAGACCCACGTGGAGCAAGAAGGCATAAAGTAGATACAATAAATAGGTAAAAATGAGACCAAAACAGAACTTTCTGACATTGGTACAAAACACCAAATCCAACAGAGTTTGCTTCTCTGTGAACAGCATTCCCAGGTGGTGGCAACAGCATTTTGTGGGCAATTGTGCAAAATTTTCAAAGTCTCTTAACATTACAACCCTCTTGACATCCAGACACTCAGAGAAGAGTGGAGTAGGGCATTAGAATGCCCCACTCCACCACACCAGCAAAAAATAGCTACATCCTCTACTCCGTCCATATCCCCAGACCTGGAACTGTGCTCTTCAGGCATACGGGACTCCACAGCACCTGTTCCAGAAAAAAATGATCGCACTCTAATGACTGTTGGTGACGGGGGACGGCAGAAGCATCCTTAGAGCATGTGATGTGAAAATGCTCGGGGTGGCCCCGTCCTGGACAGAAGGTATTGGACACATCAACTGTGTCCTAAATACGTTATTCCTGTTTGTCAATGCATTGCTGAATGACATTCCCACACCCTGCAAGCTATTCTCTAGCCACTGCGAGTGGACTCTAGGAGCGTTCACGGAGGCTGTGAGACCCATCATATGGAGACGGAAAGAGATCATCTCCCTCAACCATGTAATGGGCTGAGGACCTCATAACACTGATGTCCCGTGAGAAAATACACCACCAAGGACAGCTTCCTCTCAACACGCATTCCAGCATTTGGCCAACTCAGCTCAGCCAATATGAGTGATGTGGAGAAGGAACTTTGAATATTTGCATGTGTGAGTGTGAGCCTCTATGTATACATGTATATTATTCGTAATATTCTCAAGACTAGGTCAATGTATCTCTGACTTTTTACTGTGTGACTATATGCTGTGTGTACATCCTTCATTTTGTTCCCCCACTTTTTACTGTATGTGTGTTTGTGTTTCTACTCGTGTTTTGTATCCTCAGTGTTTTTTCACTGATGTTTGTTGAAAGATCGTAAAAATCAAATAAAAGTTATAAATATTGTGCCACAGTAAAATATATTGTACTTTCAGGGCACTGAGCGGCTTGTGTTCATCAAATGGTAACAATGCCAGTGCGATCCATTTCAATGGTAGGTTTGAACAGAAAAAATGTGGAGAAGTCAAATGGAGGGGGGTGGAATACTTCTCTACGGCTCTAAATATCTAGGGTACCTGTTCCGATGGCTGAAAGACGTCGAGAATGCCAGTGGGCCTGCTCCCATGCTTCCACACAGAAGGTGTCTCCCGAGATCAAATGCAGGACAGGGGGATGCAATCAACTCCTGGGCCTTCCTCCAAGCAGCAACTCACAGGGAAGTGCAGAGGCCCTTCAAGATTTACCTGGCCACCCAGGGACTTGAGGGGCTGACTCATTCCAGGTGCTTTGCAGAGAAATTTTTGCTGTCGTTTCTTTTAGGTGCTTAAAGCCTTTAAATGATTCTTCCTGATGTTATGAGATTTTTATTGTCTGTTTTACTGACTGCTGTAAACCATGCAGAGAGCTTCAGCTGTGGGGCCGTATAGAAATGAAATAAATAATGCTAAATGACCACCGCTTCCACTGCCCACCACTGGCACCTCCTCTTCAGTCCATCATAATCTCTGATAAATGGAAATATTTCACATCCTTGCTCCAAGCCTTTCCCCACCTCCATCCCACTTCTTTAGAGCTACTTGAGAAAAGGTGGAGAAGCTCTTGCTGCGATCATTTTTCTATGCTTTTATTTTATAGCAACAATGGAGAAAAGAGGAAGAGGAGGAAAGGGGGGTACTACCGTCCGCAGAAGCCATGAGATCTCCCAATAATTTCAGCCTTATCCCATTTGTCACTTTGATAAATTCATTTGTTCCTTGCATGGCTTAACCAGTCACCAACCTTGGGAAGTGCTTCTCAGATGATTTATATCCTAGCAAAAGTGAACATATTTAAGATAACCTCCATGTCCTTGGCTTTTAAGTTTCATTTTAGCTAGCCTAATAGCATATATGGAAGATGTAACAGTAAATGATAGCCTATAATTCCCTTTATAGTTGTTGTTACCTTCGGCCGGAACAGTTTTATCTTTCATGGTGCTGCCACACATGGGTACTGGTTGTGTTCTCTGCACTGAGATCTCTACTTCCGCTATAAAGATTGGATACAACCTTTTCACTGTTGCTGATACAGCCATTTATCAAAGGGGGCTCAACCCAGCCCAAAGTTAAGTGTTTCGCCATTCAATCCATTTACCCAGAGGTAACCTGCTAGGTTCAATGGCGATTACTCTCAGGAACTGTGCATAGAATCGCAGCCTAGCACTCAGGGCAATACAGAAATATGCTCATTGGCAGCAACTTGGCTTTCCTTTGGGTTGCTGTTGAAAGGAAAATGGCTGGACCCATTGCAAAATGTGCTTCCCGCAGAGAGGGGGCCCAGGGCTCGCATCTTGCATTCTGCTCAGAGAGGTTTGGTTCTGAGGAGCAGCCAGAGTACGCGGGTGGGCAGTGACATTGCAGTTCCAAGGTGATCTAGTGAAGATGCTCAGGCTGCACCTGGGAGCCGGGGTGCGTGCGGGGGGGACTTTTCTGAGTTTTCTGGGCAGGGGGAAGATTCAGAGGGTGGACCAATGAAGAAGCATCCACCACTCCCACCACACTGAGTGTGTAGTCATTCTGAAAAGGGGGGAAGGAGGGGATGTTTCAGTTTGGAGTCAACTCTTTACATGGGCAGACACTTCTTCCACATCCCAAAAAGAACATGGCTTTGATTTATGCTTCTAAGTTCTCAGCTAAGTCTGCTGGCAGGGAAAGAGGGGAGAAAGACCTGCTTATGACTCTTCCAAGCAGACTGGATTATTCTCTACCATACAATATATTCTACCGCCATCTTTTCTATTGCTC